CCCCCTCCCACCTGCGGGAAAAGGGGAAAAGTGGGAATGAGCATCCCGGGATTCCAGCCAGAGCCATCCCAAATCCCAAATCCTGGGATCCGTTGGTCACCAAGAGATCTCCACCCCACTCCCTCCCACCTGCGGGGCAGGAAAACCGGGATGAGCATTCCAGGATTCCATGGGAAGGGGATCCCAGCCAGAACAGCTCCAAATCCCAAATAATCCCAAATCCCGGGATCTGTTTGGGGTTTTCCTCACCCGGAGATCTCCACCTGCCCCTCACCCCCTCCTGACCCCCTCCCAACTGTGGGGCAGGAAAACCAGGAATGAGCATTCTGGGATTCCAGCCAGATCCACCCCAAATAACCCCAAATTAATCCCAAATAATCCCAGATCCCAAATCCCGGAGTTTGGGGTTTGCTCACCCACAGGAAGCCCTGGGGCAGGGAGGTGCTGACGGCTGAGAATCCCAGGAGCGAGGAATGGACGGGATTGTGGACAGCGGCTCCCAGCTGCGGTGGGAACCCAAACATCGGGATTCGGACACGGCCCGGCCTCCGTTCCCAAAATTCCCCCTTGGAATGTCCCAGCTCCTGCCTTTTCCAGCCCCTCCACTGTGGGATTTGGGCTTTTCCGCCCCAAAGTTCGTGGATGCAAAGGGAAAGGGGATGGAGAACCCAAAGCACCCCAAACAGGCAGGGAATCAGTGGGAACCCTAAAATCTGGGATGCAGCTGCTATTCCAGATTTTCCCCCTTGGATTGCACCAATTCCTGCCTTTTCCAGCCCTTCCAGGGCGGGATTTGTGCCTTTCCCTCCCGGATCCGGGGTTTTCCCGGCTCTCACCTGCAGATCCAAGGCTTTGGAGGAGAAGGCTGGAATGTGGCAGGACAGGATGGGGCACCAGAAGGGAGCTCGGCTCTTCCTGTCCTCATCCGGGCAGAGCCAGCCCGGCTGGTTCTCCTCCCCTGCGGAAAACCGGGAGCTCCGGGATCAGCCCGACCCCAAACCCCACCTTTGGGATCCATTCCCACCCCAATCCACCGTTTCCCACGGATTCGGGACGTGCCTCACCCCCTTCACGGAATTAACGCAGCGTGGAGGTGGGGGGATGAAAAATAAAAATTAAAAAAAAACAAATCCCGAAAAACCCAGAATTACAGGAAAAAATTCCGACTTCCCAGCCCGGCTCCGGCCCCTCGCTCCCGGTTTTCCCCCCTTTCCCAGGTTTTCCGGGAAGACTCACGCAGGCCGATCTTGGCCAGGTGCAGCCGGTTCACCCAGGAGATCTTGCTGAGGGGGCTGGGGGTGATGAACACCACCATGACACTGATGGGGCGCCCGGACCTGCGGGACACGGCAGCCTTCAGCCTCATCGTCATCATCATCGTCGTCCTTCTCCTCGTCTTCCCTTCCTCACTGTGATCCTCATCCTCATCTTCATCCTCCTTCTCATCTTCCTCCTCCCTCTGCTTCCTCTTCCTCACTGTGATCACCACCTTCATCCTCATCCTCCTTCTCCTCCTCTTCCTCCTCCCTCCTCTTCCTCATCCTCCTCCTCATTGTGATCCTCACCCTCCTCCTCATCATCATCTTCATCCCGCTCTTCATCCTCCTTCTCGTTTTTCTCCTCCTTTCTCTTCCTCATCTTCCTCATCCTCTTCCTCCTCACCCTCCTCCTCATTGTCCACATCTTCCTCATCATCCTCGTCATCTTCATCCTGCTCTTCATCCTCATCCTCCTCTTCCTCATCCCTTTCCCTCTTCCTCCTCATCCTCACCCCCATCATCATTCTCCTCACTGTGATACTCACCCTCCTCATCATCTTCATCCTCATCCTCATCCTCCTCCTCCTCCTCATCCCTTTCCCTCTTCCTCCCCGCATTCCCGAATTCCCGCATTCCCGAATTCCCGCATTCCCGCATTCCCGCATTCCCTCATTCCCGCATTCCCGCATTCCCGCATTCCCGCCCTCACTTGTCCGGTTTTCCGGGCAGCAGCAGCCGCAGCCGGCACTTGTTGGCCGAGTGGATCTCTTCCTCCTTGACCTTCATCATCCTCTGCAGGGCCAGGCACCAGTCCTGCGCCACCGTCATGTTCAAGTTCTGGAGAACACCGGGAACGTTCCCAGAGCGCCGTGGGATTCGGGATCACCCCCGATCCCGCCGGAGAAGCCGGCGCTCCCGGCCGGTACCTGGTAGGTGCCATGCAAGGTGCTGACGAGCAGCGTGATCTGCTCCACCACCGCCAGGTCCTTCTGCAGGTCCTGCAGCTCCTGGAAGAGCCGCGGGGGGCCCAGGTACACCTTGTCTTTGGGGGGAAAAAGCGGGATTTCAGGAATGCCCCGGGATCCACCCCGGGGTGGAGGAGACACCGAGATGGAGCCCAGGAGCCAGCGGCACCACGGAGAGCCCCGAGCGCCTCAAACACGGCCACGGGTGGGGACTCCAAGAGGGGTGAGATCCCCCAAAATCCCCCAGATCCCAGCCCAGGGAGGTTCTCCCATTGGGAATTCCGCTGGAACATCACATCTCCGACCCCATCACCTCCCAGAGCAATGAAATCCCCCAAATCCCAGCCCAAGGAGGTTCTCCTGCTGGGAATGAGGCTGGAGCTCCACATCCACGACCCCACCACCTCCCAGAGTGATGAAATCTCCCAAATCCCAGCCCAGGGAAGTTCTCCCATTGGGAACTCCACTGGAATTCCAACCCAAACACCTCCCAGAATGATAAAATCCCCTAAAATCTTCCCAAATCCCAGCCCAGGGAGGTTTTCCTGTTGGAAATCCAGCTGGAGCTCCACATCCACGACCCCACCACCTCCCAGAGTGATGAAATCCCCCAAATCCCAGCCCAGGGAAGTTCTCCCATCAGAAATTCCACTGGAGCTCCACACCCACGACCCCACCACCTCCCAGCTTGATGAAATCCCCCCAGAATTCCCTCCGGAGCTCACTGTGGGCGGCCTGGCCAGCGGGCGCGTGCCGGCGTTGGCCGGCGTTGGCCACGGCCGCGCCGTCCTTGTCGCCGGCGCCGCTCTCCTGGCCCACCTCCACCACCTGCACCTGCGGGAGGGCCGTGCTCCACTTCAGCACGTACTTGGGGCCCAGCGGCACCAGGCTGCTGATTTCCAGCTGGCCTCTGCCAAGGCAAGAATTCCAGGTTTAACAAAAACGCCCGGATTTTCCCAAAAAACCCGCTGGAATTTCCCAAAATCTCCCCCCCCACCCCGAAATGCAGGCGGCAGGCTGAGCACCCCACACCGTGCAGGAACCCCCAAAAGTGGGGCACGCCACACAGCACAGCACGCCCGGCACCTACCCTGCGGGCACCGGCCTGGAGAGGGCAAAAAGGAGGAGTTCAGTGGGATTTCCTGGGAATTTCGGGAGCTTTTCCCGCTTGGAGGTGTCAAATTCCGCCCATCCCACCCCGTTCCTGGATCCCACGGCAGCTCCGAGACCCCACAGCAGCAGTGGGGGGTCAAAGGTGGGCAGGAAAACCCCAAATTTGATGGGATTCCCACCCAAAAACCCCAGACTCGTTGGGATTCCCACCCCAAAACCCCAAACTCGTTGGGATTCTCACCCAAAAACCCCAAATTTGATGGAGATTCTCCCAAAAACCCCAGACTTGGTGGGATTCTCCCCAAAAATGAGGATGGGGATGAGGAAGAGGAAGATGAGGACAAGAAAGATGAGGAGGAGGAGGAGGAGGATGAGGATGAGGATGAGGATGAGGATGAGGATGAGGATGAGGATGAGGACCAGGAGAAGGAGGAGGAAGAGGATGGGGATGAGGATGGGGATGAGGAAGAGGATGAGGATGAGGATGAGAAGGAGGAGGAGGAGGAGCAGGAGGAAGAGGAGAAGGGTGAGGACCAGGAGGACAAGGACGAGGAGGATGAGGAAGAGGAGGAGGAGGAAGAGGCAGACAAGGAGGAGGAGGAGGAGGATGAGGATGAGGAGAAGGATGAGGACGAGGATGAGGATGACGATAAGGACAATGAAGATAAGAACGAGGAGAATGAGAATAAAGAAGAGGATGAGGATGAGGATGAGGATGAGGATGAGGATGAGGATGAGGATGAGGATGAGGATGAGGATGAGGACAAGGAGGTGCTGCCCCCTCCAGAGTCTCCAGGCTCTGCAGGTGGCCGGCCCGTACCTGAAGTTGACGTTGGCGCAGACCAGGAGGTCGCTGAGCAGGAACACCTTCCTCTCCTTGGACTTGAGCAGCTGCCCGCGGTCCCCGTACACCGTCTCAGTCAGCGTCTCGCACAGCAGCAGCTGCCGCTGCCCCGAGCTCAGCAGCTGCGGGACGAGCCCCAGGTCTCACTCCAGAGGCCACCCCAGAGAGCCCGATCCCACCACGGAGATGGAATTCCCGCCATTGGCAAAAGATAAAGCTGCTCCGAAAGGTCCCCAAAGCTCCTGCAGAACTTCCAAATTCTCCTCCGGAGCCTCCCAAAACCTTCTCCAGAACCTCCCAAAACCTTCTCCAGAACCTCCCAAAACCTTCTCCAGAACCTACAAAAAATCTTCTCCAGATCTTCCCAAAAACTTTCTCCAGAACCACCCAAAACCTTCTCCAGAACCTACAAAAAAATCTTCTCCAGATCTTCCCAAAAACCTTCTCCAGAACCACCCAAAAACCTTCTCCAGAACCTCCCAAAAACCTTCTCAAGAACCTCACAAAACCTTCTCCAGAACCTACAAAAAATCTTCTCCAGATCCTCCCAAAAACCTTCTCCAGAACCTGGAGACACCCTGACACAGAGAGGGAGCTCCAAATCCCAATCCAGCAGATCCCTGGGGAGGAATTCCCAAATTCCACCCTCAAGGCTCGGCTTGGATCAAGATCCTCTGGGAGCAAAGAGGGATCCGGCTTCCCAAAATCCCCAGGGTGGACAGGGAGCCGCAAATCCCACCCGGCAGCTCCGGATCCGGCCAGGAATGGGGATGGGGAGGAGGAGGAGGACAAGCAGGACAAGGATGAAGATGAGCAGGAGGATGAGGAGGAGGAGGAGAAGGTGGACAAGCAGGACAAGGAGGATAAGGCTGAGGATGAAGATGAGCAGGAGGAGGAAGAGGAGGAGGAAGACGAGGAGGAGGAGGAGGGAGGAGGAGGACAAGGAGGACAACAGGATAAGGCTGAGGATGAAGATGAGCAGGAGGAGGAGGAGGAATGAGGATGAAGATGAGGATGAGGAGGAGGAGGAGCAGGACAAGGAGCAGGACAAGCAGGAGAAGGAGGAGAAGGAGGACAAGCAGAATAAGGATGAAGATGAGCAGGAGGATGAGAATGAGAATGAAGATGAGGATGAGGAGGAGGAGCAGGACAAAGAGGACGAGGAAGAGAAACAGAAGGAG